AGTCAGGATTGGCTCGGTTAACGATGTCCCCGCAGTGACATCAGCTTATGTTCACCAACAAGACGATGCCAATACTCAGCTGCGGACGGAGTTGCAGGCGACGCAGTCTCATGTGAGTACGCTCACCGATATCCTCGACATTATGGCGGTTGGAAACCCGCAAGTGGCGGAGATGTTGCGTCAGAGACGGGAAAGCGGAGCCCTTCCACCCCAATAGCCTCCACCATCTCAGTCACAGCCGGCATCCAACGTTGGAGACGACGACTTCGTGCACCAATTTCAAGAGCAGCATCCCTTTTAGTTTTTTTAGTTTTTAATTGTATATTATGAATTTTAAAACTTATTAATTTTATATTATTTAGTTATTTATAAATATTTTGTTATTTATTTTTTTATTTATAATTTGGTTTTTTTTTATTTTTTTAATATATATAATTTTTAATTTATAAATATTTTTTTTAAATAGGAAAAAATTATTTCGAAGCAAAATCCTCGTAAAGGTTTTGAAGTAAACTCCTCGTAAACTTTCCTAGCAAGTTCCTCGTAAAGATCCTACTACGAGATTACGAGGAAAGAGTTTACTATGAGCTTACGAGGAAAGCCTACGTGCACCTTACGAGGAAAACGTATCCACGCGTTTACGAGGAAATGTTTCCTCGTAATTTAGCTAGGAAATTACGAGGAAAATATGCTTTACGATGAACGTCTTTCGACGAAACGCGTTTCCTCGTTATTTCCTGGTAAAGGACCGTTTACTAGGAAATGACGAGGAAAACCCGTCCTAGTAAAGGACGTGTTTTCTTATAGCGTATGCTGTTTTTCTAAACTTGGTTCTGTTTTCTATTATATTAAAACATAAGTATTATAAAAATTAAATATGAAAAAGTTATATTAAATTGGTAAATTAACCTGTTTACTTTGAAAATATTTCCATTTAATGAGATTTTTATCTACCATTATAAAGAGTTAAAATTGGTTAGCTATGTAATATTTGTATACAAAAAATATAGTTATTAACATACGTTAAACTTTTTATTCAACAATTATATATTTTCAAAAATAATATTTAAAAAGTTATTTGATTATTTCAGATTATAAATTATTGTACCAAGCTCAAAAACGTAATAAAAATTAATAAAAAGTAAAATATATAAAATAAATAACTATATATTAAATGTATTACTCTCTCTGTTTCATTTTAGTTGCCGTTTTACGTTTTTGCACAAAGATTAAGAAATCATTTAATTTTGCATATTTGCAAAATAAAAACACAATTATCTATATATCTAACCACATTTCAACCAATAGAAAAATAGAAAAGTAGATAAATCTAATAAATTATGCATAGAAATTATAAAACGGCACTTATTTTAAAACGATTTTTTTTCTCTAAAACGACAAATAAACTGAAATGGAGGGGTAAGAAACTTAAAAAAAAAAAAAATTAAGGAGTTACATAGTATATAACACTAAAATATAAACATCATATCAAAAATATTAATGATAATATCAAAATTTAACATTTACATAATAATAAATACCCGAATGTCTAGTATTTAGTTATAATGGATAATATACTAAGTATCCTTTGATAATTCTTTTATTTTACACAAGTACTTAAAAGTGGGTGTTTCATACCTGTGAATCCGAAGCCAAGGAGTTAAAAATTTCTTGGGTGTGGCATTGTATATGCTTCAACCATGTTCTAAGGAGATAGAACAGTAAACAACGATGGTGAGATTTATATATTTTATCCCTTTATTAGAGATAGTCATGTAATATCAAGAACATAGTCGTTAGGTAAGAAAAGGAAAATGTTCGCAAAATCGTTTTTACCTTCACTATTATCGAATAGTTCCCTAGATTGAAGTGAACCGGTTCTGGAACATCTGGTCAACTCATAATATGTATGAATCACAATACAGTCTCTTATTATTCAACGTTAGAGACTAACTGTTTGAAACCATGATTTATTCGCAAAACCGGTTCACATCACCTCGATAAACACATTTAAATGGCAATTTGGTATCTTTAATTGTTAAAGAGAATAATAAGTATTGAATTGCAAATAACTTCTATCTGAAAGAGCATAATTTATTACCTTCTCTGGTTACGAAGTAGGGGAGACGAAGCTGAAATAACAAGTTTCAGGAACTGAAAGTTTTTTTTTTCACCAACAAATTAATTTTTGTCACTTAAAGTTCTGTAGTTTTTTTGTCCTTTTCTCATTAGTTTAGGCCCGATAAAATATTGTTTTACCTATAGCCCATCAAGAAATATTACCCTATGTAAGTAGCTTTTCCCATCTGAAATAAACTTTTGTAATATCTACTATCTACTATAATTAAAAGGGGCTAATCAAGTCTTCTTACCATATCCACGTGAGCATAAATAATCAGCCAATAGGAGATATCGAATCGGCCACGTCAGCGACAACTGGGTGCTCCACGTGTGTTAAGGTCAACTGAGTTTTGTGTTTCAATTAATCGTTCCTCTTCAAAACGACTCATCTTCAAAACGACTCAGGAGGAATTGCCATCCACACTCGAGAGATTCGCTGTCACGGAAACCCAATCCCTTTGATCAGAGAAGAAACCTGATACGCCCTAGATCGGGAAAGGATCACTCACCCGGACTTTGGATATGATCTCAGACGAAACGAATGAGAAATGATGTATGAACAACGACACAAAGGGATGTGGAAGGCCCAATGATACTGCCAAGGGTGCTTGAATGTCGCCTGATATGACTCACAGGTCCGACAAGAAGCAAACTCGATCTGTTGCCGGATGTGACGCACCGGTCCAACGAGAAATAGATGTGTAACTTGGAGCTAACCACACCAAGAAACGAAATAAGATCAATGGATATTACACACCATTGAAAAAGTGAGAATCCCTCTCAAGGTTCCAAAAATAATCACTCAAAGCTTATTTTATTTCATTCAGCAATATGCCTTTATATAATAGGCAAAGCATACAAAAGGTTGGAATACAAAAGATTAGTCAAACATAGAAATTAACAACTTATAAAAACAAGGAAGACTTGACTAAATACTTTGATTTGACCAAAATGATGACTTGACCGAAGTTGGACGGTTTGGAACGAATGACTCTTCAGATGGCCTCGTGTTTCAGCATGCTCGACGTTCTTTGAATTGCCGTCAGATTGATATATTATTCGACCATAGCTCATATTTTCTTGTTGAGCCTTTCTTTCTTTGGGCTGAATCATGTCCATCAACATATTTCTTAAATCGTTAAGCCCATCTCGTTTAAAACTCAAACCCATAAGCCAAATCATCTTGATTTGTTTCTGCCGCTAATTCAGGGCGCATTATTCCCTCCTCCTTTAAAAAGATTTGCCCTCAAATCTGTCTTTCTTTAGTTTCAGATGTGATGATCTCTTGGCTTTTCGTAAAGCTTTCTTTTTTTTTTCTTTTTTTTTCTTTTTTTTTATATATAGAAAAGAAAGGTAAAAGATGGACGAAGAAGATGAAAAGATAAAAAAAAATGAACAGACAAGTACCGGGTGAATGGCTCTGATACCAAATGATAGAACCAAAAATAGAAGGATCACTTTAGCTGGGTGTTGGATATGAACCGAGAAGGCAAACGGCACTTCTGGAACTGAGATGGATTGAAAGGATCGTCAAGAGATGCGGAATGGCTCTTGATATACCCACGATCTAAGGCTAACCACCTAAGAAATGATGAATGTGTTGGCTAACCACCAAACAACACACAAAGATGAAATGGCTGACCACCAAATCAACAAGCCGGTTCACACCAATGAACTAGCTAAAGAACTCTCTCTCTCTCACTCAGAGAAGAAACGAAATTAAACGCAAAAACATAGACTTATTTTATTCATAGAAGAGTTTACATATTTGTACTACTTGTGGTCAAAAGAAATGAAGAGTTTTTGTAGAAAACTAGAAACTTAGAAAACACAAACAAAGACTAAGACTTTTGACTAGAAATAAGTGTGTTGCTGAATGCCCCTTGATATGACCACGACTTTGACTCATTTTCTTGATATTTCTTGATGCAAATGGGCTGAAGACCATCAGAAAAGGCCTGGTCGAATTTGGTGTAAATCGGACCCAAATTGAATTTGTAAGGAATTTTTCCGTGGGTTGAAAAAGGCTCATTTCGCCCAGCAACTAAACCAACTCCATCTTCAGTGTCACTTAGCTCACTCAGCTCATCCAGCTCACCCAAGTAAGTGTCATCTGATGGGGAAACCTCGGTTGAATCGAGTTGGTCGACAAGATCGTCTCCTTGGGCCGGTTCTATGATCCGAGCAGGTCGGTACTCGAACCGGAGCGCATCAAAACCCTAGGCCTGATGGTTGACTAGCGGTTTCCAGTGGGCTCTAAGTCGTCCTCTGATAGAGCGGAACCATCGTCACCAGAAAATCGAAGCTCTCCTAGGGGTCCTCATGATTAGACGATGGACTTGATTGTTTAAGACTTTCAAGACTTTTACTGTTGAAACTTTTAATTATATGTTGACTGTTAAATTTTTTAGTTTTTAAAAGATTGAAATGGATTTAGACAGTTGTTAAAAGCCTAAGGGTTTGATTGTTATGACGTTAAGACTTTTACTATCTGAAAATTTCAATTATATGTTGGCTGTTAAAACTTTTGGTTTTAAAAAAAATTGAAATAGCTTTAGAAAATTATTAAAGGCCTAAATTTATTGCTTTGAGAAAAACAAATCAAGTTAAGAGTAAAGTTGGTTATTTTGACTTTAAGACTTTTAAGGATGATTTTTAGGATTTTAGAGAATTTAAAGTCTGATAGGTAAATAAACAAACTTTAAAGTCTTTAAAAATAAACTAAAGCTTCTAAAACCATCAAAGTCAAAATCCCAATCTGACTCGATGTTTCACATATATATGTGAATCGACCTCCTATCGAGTTTTCAGTCTTCTTAATGGAAACATAATCTCCTAAAAAGGATATATATATACGTGTGTGTGTGTGTGTGTGTTTGATGAACAGATTTGGACATGGATCTGGAGCTAATAGCTGGCTCAAACAATTGGAGGTTTAGTGAAATGATTTGTTGTCTATGAAAGCTACTGTATATAACTCTTCATTGTTAATGTTTATTATGATAAATAGGGAGGAGGATGGTCCAACAACGTCAGAACATGCGTATACATGAAGAAAACTAGACATGGATCATCTAACTATATGGAGAAAGAGCTTCAGTTTACAAGAATATTGAGTGATAAAGCTCAAGAAAATCCAGGTTTAGTCTCAAATTGTTGTTCATGTGATATGATCATGTCAGTAATGTAATGTAATATTAAGGATTATTGATTGTCTTTTGCAGACTTTTTTCAACTGGAATATAGTTAGGCTTCATTACTGTGACGGTGCTTCTTTCAGTGGATATGGACAGGATGAGGTTTGAATCATTACACTATTGAGTTAATAGAGGCTTTGTTTTTAGTTCTGTACATTTGAGCATCTTCTTGGCTTTGTTTATAACTTTGTACAGGTTGCACAGCTTCAGTTTAGAGGAGAGCGTATCTGGAGAGCCGCTATAGATGATTTAAAGGCCAACCGAGTGCGATACGCCGACCAGGTTTGACACTTAAAACTTCTCTTAATTTACACTTCAGGATCAAATACAAGAGTAGTTTCTTATGAAACTGTTTAATGTTGTGACAGGCACTTCTCTCTGGATGCTCAGCTGGTGGTTTAGCAGCAATATTACGCTGCGATGAGTTCAGAGATATGTTAGTCTCTTTGTAAAAGCTATTTTGTTTCTTAATTGCAATCTTCTTCTGCTTCTTCTTTAGAGTTCTCAGTTTTTTTTGTTTCTTAGATATGATTGTTGCTGTTTAGACAAAACGCAGCTGTTCACAATGTTTCTATGTTTTTTCTTCCGGCAAGACTTTTGTTGTCTTATGTGTTTTTTGTTTTTACTTTTGTTGCAGTAGTGATGCTTCATGAGCAAACGACAACACCTGTCATAAATTCTCGCATCTTTATCCCGACATATCCCTGCTCTGGTTCTCTCACAGGAGCCACGGGAAGAGCCTTCTAAACCTCCTCCTCTCTCACACACTCCTCCTTAAGAGAAGACAGAACATCTCAGCAGGTAGCATTTTTTACACCTTCAATATCATAAAGTTTTCAACTTTATTTTCTTTTATTCAATTGTAAGTGATCCCCATCTTTGTCAGTTTCAATTACACTGCCATGTTGATCGTAGCAGCCTTTGTGTCCATTGCTCTTGCGATGCACCCCACTGATTTATGCTTCATAAATGCTGATTTAGTTTTCTCTTTTTTTTTCCACAGCAAGAGATATGTAAGGGATTGATTTTGGGAACACTTTTCTTGCAGCCTAGTTTCTTGGTTCCGGTTGAGGTAATGTAAGTCTTTACTCGGTTTAGTTTAATGGTGTGGTGGTGAGGCTCCTATTTTTGTTGTATATCTGTTCTCCTCCTACACTTGTGAGGAATAATAGTTTTTTTGGTCAGAAATTGAGCTTAAAATCATAGTTATGTTTTCTCTGGCCGTAATGTTCATTTGTATGCTTTATTTTCATTTTCCTTTTAAATTTCCAATCTTTTTAAATAAACTTTTTGAATCTTTCAGGCAGAATTTTATATACAAAAAAACTATGAAGGTCCTTTTTGAATCTCCAAAAAATATCCTTCTAAGAAGATTCTTAAAGATGCTCCCAAAGTCTCAGATCTGTGTTGGCTACTCTGAACTCCATTGAATAAGAAATGCTGGATAATCTTACGATAATAAATAAGATAATGGAAGAACTCTAGAGGAAAAGGAAACTATAAATGCTTTTCTGATGTATCTTGGTACCTAGGTTGCACGGGTACGTCACTAGGTTATGACTTCAATACTATTGAGCTGACTCAGCTGGTGAGAAGGTGGCGCAGCGTACGAATGGGTGAACGGTCGATCTAAGAATTTAGGGTTCTCTGAGACCTGTTCTTGGATCGATCAAGAGTTACTTTCGTTAGCTTCTTGAGACCAACTTCCTGTTTGATGAATTGAATCGAATCGAACAAGGTATAAAAGCAAAGCTCTTTATTAATTATCAAAAACGTGTCCTAAACATAAGAACTAGTAACTGCTTAAATAGCTAATTCTATTTGACAAACCTCATAGAATTAGGAACACAATTGGTAGACGTAAAAGGAAATAACAAAAATAAAGTAAAATCATAAAAACCAAAGTCAAACTGTAACGTGATTTGAATTCCTTACGTGCGCGCCAAACATAGTGATGCTGCTGCATCAGGTCCCCCGGGGTGAGAAGGATTCGACCGCGAATCAGAAGCATCGTCTTCAGGGACGTATCGAGTAAGATATTTGACATTGAAAACATCAGCTGTGTTGACGTCGGCTGGAAGACGCAGACGATACGCATTATCATTGCTACGCTCTAAAACTTCAAGGGGACCAATCTTCTTGGCCTTAAGTTTGTTATAGGCATGAGCAGGCATCCTATCACGGGTCAAGTACGCCCACACGAAATCTCCAACGTTGAACACTAGGCGCCTGCGATGAGTATCAGCTGAACTTTTATATTTTGACGCAGAAGCTTCTAAGTTCGAGATTGCTTGTTTATGGACGTCAGAAATTGCATCCACAAAAGCAGTAGCACCTCCATGCATCCGTGTACGATCAGGCAAGTTAGAGAGATCCACCGGTCCACGCGGAACAAAGCCATAAACCACTTGGAAAGGGCAAAAGCCCAAGCTTCGATTTAAAGAATGATTATGGGCAAATTCAGCCTGAGGTAACTTTGAATCCCAAGTCGTGATTGCATCGCCGACCAGACAACGTAATAGGTTACCTAAGGAGCGATTTGTCACTTCCGTCTGTCCGTCCGTTTGAGGATGATATGCTGAACTCATATCAAGAGAAGTACCCAGCTGCTTCCAAAGGGAGCGCCAAAAATGGCCAAGAAAACGTGAGTCTCGATCAGACACAATAGAGAGAGGCAAACCATGTAGACGATATATCTCGCGGAAAAACAAAGAAGCCACTTGAAGAGCATCTGTTGTCTTTTTGCAAGGAATAAAATGGACCATTTTAGAGAAACGGTCAACGACGACGAAGATTGAATCAAAACCTCGCTGAATGCGTGGAAGACCAAGGACAAAGTCCATGCTAATGTCCGTCCAAGGTTGGGTTGGAACAGGCAATGGCATATAGAGACCTGCATTCGAGGCGGTACCCTTAGACTTTTGACACACAACGCAGCGTTCAACAAAACGCTCAACATCACGACGAAGAGAGGGCCAAAAATAGGAGGAGGAGACCAGGTGCAAAGTTCGATCGCGACCCACATGACCTTCTTGATGGAGTTCACTGATAAGTTGCAGACGAAGACTACACGCCGGGATGCACAAACGTGTTCCGAGAAAAAGGAAACCGTCATGGAGTGAATACTCCGAAGAACGTCCCTCCGTTGCTGCTTCAAAGAAAGGACCAAAGAAGCTGTCGGTGGGATACAAATCCACGAATGACCCAAATCCTGGAACAGAGGAATGCAAGACGGAGAGAAGACTGTGTCGTCGGCTCAAAGCATCGGCGACGCGATTTGAAGACCCCGAAGTATGTTTAATGACAAAAGTGAATTGTTGGAGGTAAGCAATCCAAGAAGCATGACGAGCAGACACTTTACTTTGGCTGCTTAAGTGTTTCAACGCATCATGATCAGTGTAAAGCACAAAATCCTTGTGAAAGAGATAATGCCGCCAGTGCTTGATAGCTTGAACAATGGCGTAGAATTCAACATCGTAGGTACTGTAACGAGCTCGGGAACCTGCCAATTTCTCACTAAAGAAAGCGATTGGCCTGGTTTTCTGACTAAGGACAGCACCAATTCCTGCTTTGGACGCGTCACAATGAAGCTCAAAGACCATACTAAAGTCGGGTAGTGCAAGGATATGAGCCGTACATAATTTTTCTTTGACTAGCGCAAAAGCTTGAGCTGCCTCGGGAGTCCAATTCAAACGACCATCGCGTATAGAATCTGTAACCGGTGCCATCAGGCTACTGAAGTGGGAAACAAAGCGACGATAGAAAGAGGCCAGGCCGTGGAAACTTCGAACTTCCGTTATAGTAGTTGGTGTTGGCCAAGACTGAATTGCGGAGACCTTGCCGGGATCAACTGCCAGACCTTTATCCGAAACAATATATCCAAGGAATTGTACCTCACGCGAACCAAATTCACACTTCTTAAGTGTAGCGAAGAACTGATCTTTGCGTAACACGAGTAAGACATCGCGTAAGTGCCTGAGATGGTCGTCTAACGAGGAGCTGAATATGAGGATATCATCGAAGTAAACAACAACGAATTTCCCAATAAACGGCCGTAAAGCCTGATTCATAACTCACATAAACGTGCTTGGGGCGTTGGATAACCCAAAGGGCATAACGAGCCATTCAAAAAGACCCTCACGAGTCTTGAATGCCGTTTTCCATTCATCGCCCGGATTGATACGAATCTGATGATAGCCGCTTTTGAGATCAAGTTTCGAAAAGACAGTCGCTGTACCTATTTGGTCAAGCAAGTCATCCAAGCGGGGAATCGGAAATCGATACCGTACTGTAATTTTGTTGATGGCTCTACTGTCAACGCACATTCGCCAAGACCCATCTTTCTTAGGTATCAACAATGCAGGGACGGCACACGGACTTAAGCTTTCGCGTAAAAATCCGTTGTGTACAAGATCTTCAACTTGTCTGCGCAACTCTTCATGCTCGCTGGGACTCATGCGATAATGGGATCGGTTAGGTAGTGTTGCATCAGGGACAAAGTCTATTCGATGTTGTATATCCCGGAGTGGTGGTAAGCCGTCCGGTAGGTCTTCCGGAAACACGTCAGAAAACTCGTGTATAAGACTTGTAAAGGTAGGCGGGATATTGTGAAATCGGTCAGGGTTGGTGGTTTTGTTGAGTAGAATATACACCACTTGTTCGTCACGCATGGCTGCTACAAACTGTCGTTGCTGGAGAAAAAGAACTGGCTTCGGAGGTGTTGGTTGTTGAGGAGATGGTTCTTGATGCGTTGAAGATGCTGGTTTTAGAACGTATTTGCGATTATTATAGTTGAAACTGTAGGTGTTGAGGAAGCCATCGTGAATAATACGTCGATCAAATTCCCATGGACGACCTAACAGTAAATGGCAGGCATCCATCGGTGCGATATCACAGTAGATCTTATCTTTGTAAGATGATCCAACGGAAAAAGAAACCAGAGCTCGGCGAGTGACCATGAGGTCGTGATCCTGCTGAAGCCAAGCAAGTTTATATGGGGTGGGGTGTGGTTCATCTTTTATCTCGAGTTTAGTAACGGCGTCAGCTGCGATTACGTTTTCACAACTACCCGAGTCGATCACAAAGTTGCATACTTTTCCGTTGATTGTGCATCGGGACTGGAATAATTTATTTCTCTCCGGGAAAGGTTCTGCTGAACGTGGGGCTAAGCATGAACGACGAAGCACGAGAAGGTGACCAGTATCTGGATATACTTCTTCTTCTTCGACTGGTTCGTCATCATATATCGGGTCTTGGTCATTATCAGCATCGTCAAGTAACATAGTTCGACGCGTGCGGGATGGACAAGATGCCTGACGATGACCTGTTTCTCCACAAGAGAAACACTTTTGTCCCGATGGTCGTGTTTGTTGATTTGTGCCAACAGGTACAATTGCTGATTCTGTTTTAGGTGTCGTCGTATCACCGGGAGAGACGGACGAGGGAGATGCTG